TCAATCCCAAACTCCTTTCCCAGTGTTTTTTCAGCTTTTCAGATTGTGAGGTAAAACCTGCTTTAGGTACTTATGATTTTAAACACCTCTCGTTAATACCACTAATCCACCTTGTAACACTTGTAACCTGGGGGAGTTCTGGGGCGCAGCAGCAATAGCCTTGGAGGGGCAAGGAATAAGCAAGAGCACCAGTAGGGTGCAGCAAACTTTGGGAGCTGGAAATCACATCCACCTTTTGCCCCTGGCCTACACAGCATTTGAAAGCTTGGGCAGATTTGGGCTGGACCTGAATTAAGAATCAGCCACTGGATGTGCAACTAAGACATACAACTATCTACTGGGGCTTTGGGGAGAAAAAGAGAAAAAAAAAGGAGGAGGATTGGCAATAGATGTTAGCTCAGGGCCAGTCTTCCTCAGCAAAAAAAAAAGAGGATTGGCATGGATGTTAGCTCAGGGCTGATCTTCCTCACAAAAAAAAAAAAAAAAATCAGCCACCATAAGGTATCTCAGGTGATATTTAGTTAAGGAAACAGAAGCTTTCAGTCTTTATAAAAACTGAACCCAGAGGAAATCTCATTCTTGGCAGTAGTGGAATTCGGTGCTCTAATTAGAAGCTGAGTTGAGTCTTGTGTCCTTGGACATTATAAAGGTTCCAACCAAACTCATTCTCTAGCCTTTTGAGTGGTGAAAGGAAATTTTCAAGTTTCTGCAGTGTTTTGGGTTTCTTTTTTCTTTTTAAAGTTGATGCTCTTCAAATTAGTCAAGAAGCAAACAATATTACTTATTAAACATCTTTGTGAAACAGCATGATATAAGAATTATGCTGGATGACTCATGATTCTTGCTTAACTTATTACTCTCATAGATATGTTAAAAAGAATAAAATGTGTCATGTCCTGATACCATCTCTGTTTGATTTGGTGCAGCCTGCTTTGGATCCTGTACTTTACAAGTTCAGAAAAAGGAAAGATCTTTATTAGCATCTTAAAGAACAAAACCAAGCAACTCCTTAGTCTTTTCCAAACCAGGGCCTAAAAGAGCTGATTTATCTCCTCCTTATCTACCTAAGAACCGTGGTGCCATATAAAATAGTCAAGAAGAGCTAGAACCCAGAGGGAGAAAATATTATCATTGTGCCTATATCCTTGTTTTTTCCTCCAGTCATAAAACTTTTATTTGACCAGCACATGCAAAATTTGGGGAAAGAGGAGGATGTGAAGAGAAAAACTAAAGGGGAATTATTAACTCCAAAGAAGTTTATATGGGGGCATCATGTTCTTACCAGAAATAATCTGTTCTGTACCATGTATGCAACAAAGAGATTTTTCCCAGGCTGGATCCAGTATATCAAGCTCCTTATGGATATGGTAAATAGAAAAACACTCAGTTCCATTTTGGGGATAGATTAAGTGAGAGCAGTGATACTTAGATCATTTCTGGAATTGGCACATGGATTCCTCATCAAATTCTACATAGGAATAAGAGAAATGAGCTTTGCACATGGTTCAAACAATCACAGACTGTATAATCTTCTTCAAAGAAAACTCCTCTTAAAATCAAGAAATTTAATTATTTCTGTGTCTATAGATTATTAGGGTTAGTAAGCTCTCTGATGGCATCCAGCCCATCTTACTTACATAGATATTTTGAAAATATATTTGTTGAGCTAATGAAGGAATGAAATCACTCCCTCTTTCCTACTGCCAAAGTTCTCTTAAGTGTGACACAAACAGCAATTCATAAATAATTGCTTTCCTAACACTTTGATCTTTTTAAGAAAACATTCTGGAAGGAAATTTGGCTATTTTGACTTTAAGTTATGGGTTATCAAGGCCCTTGATATACCACCTTCTCCTTTTAGTGAATGGTTAGCCCATGCTATTAGGAAATAACACTTTTATGATACTATTCAGGAAGGGGGTGGAGTCACCTCACACATGCATTTAATGTACACGTGACTTTAGAATCTAACTCCTATGAAGATGAGACCAATGCCCAAGGATATGACAGTGGCAGCCGTTCAGTGGGGCCACGAGAGGAAAGGCCCAAGTGAGATGAATGACAGGCAGCAGGTGACCAGGCTCTTCTCAGTGACTTTTCAAAGGTGTGTCTGAAAAATCAGAATTTAGAGTTAGAGCCAGAAAATACTTTCTGAGTACTTACTACATGTCCACCATCATGCTTTAGTTACTTTCGTATTTTTTTCTTCTTTAATTCTCAAAACAACAACAAACGTGAGATGTTTTAAGGTTATAATGGCTTAATATTAAAACAGAGTGGAGTTAAACTTGTGGGCAAGAAAAAGCACTTTGGAATTCTCCATCCTTTCCTCACTCACACTAGGAACTTGAGAATTATCTTAAAGGAAGAAAGAAGTGAATGCCCTGACATCTATATTTAGATTTTCCATTTGTTTCTTTCTTTATCTAGTTCAGTGGCTCTCAATCCTAAATGTGAATGTGTATTACTGTAAGCGCTAGTTCACATATATTAAACTTTAAGCATGATTTAAGGGAGTTCATGATAATTTTGGCTACACAAGAATTTTGCTTTAGGCAGTAACTTTAAAACTAACCCTTGATTAACAAGAGACTCCACTTTATTCAAAATAAGCAATAAAAATTTAGAATATAAAACAAAATTCCAGAAACAGTGGTTATTGCCAAATGGTGTTTCAATGTGTTATAGAAAGATCGAGAAAGTAATTCAAATCATCTTTTTTAACGTCAGCATCTTGTTGCATTTGGCTCTGTTGCCAACTGCAGGAAAGAAAAAGGATCAGGTAAGGAAGAGTTCTTCAGGTTCAAAATTTCTTTAATAAAGTTATCTTTCCTATATAGCATAAGAGAAATTGCTCAACCTTTCTCTATACCTTTTCTCACCTGTAAGAAGGAAAGGTAATACTTATTTATGAAGAGTAAGTTTTCAAGTCTCATCTTTTCCGCCAAAGATTTACAGCTTCTTGGAATTACCCTTTCTTTTTTTTTTTTGTTTATTGCGGTAACATTGGTTTCTAACATTGTATAAATTTCAGGTGTACATCATTATACTTCTGCATGGATTACATCAAAGATTTACAGGCTTCTTGGAAGTACCCCTTCTTTCTTAAGCCTCCCATAGTAATCATTTGCCACATGGTGCCATAGCCCAGAGTTTAAGAGCAGGGGCCTCAGAGCAAGATAAATTGAGTGCAAATACCAAATCTGCCACTTAGTAGAAATATCACTTTGTGCAATTTATTTAACCTCTCTGAGACTCAGTTTCCCCAGTCATGTAATGAGGATAAATTCTTGCTCCCTCCCAGAGCTGTTAAGGACAATGTGCCTGGAACACAGCAGACATTCAAAAATATTTGTTGATTGAATGAAAAGTAATCATGAAATACATAGTACAGAAGGAGCCCATAGTCAGTTCTCATCAAACTGTAGTTATTATTGTTATTACTTCCTATCATCTGCTAAATAAATGGGAACGATTTTGTTTTAAACATTCTAAGTAAACAGAAAGAGCAGATTCAGGAGACATGGGAACATTGGTGAGAGAACAGAATATCAGCATCTAAGTAATATGACAGTATTTGAGAGATTTTATTTGTATATGCCAATTTCGTCCAATTCCAATTCTGCCATTAAAACTCACTCCCTTAGATGGCAGCCAGGTGCAAGAGCATGGATGCTATTACATAGCTCCATGGCTGTAGCCTCTACATTTGGCTTCAGCTGTGTTCCCTCAGTGTCAACTCAGCTGTGCTCCTCTGGTCTCTCTCAGGTCTCAGTGGTACTAAACTCATGAGACCATCGGTTCTCATTTCTCATGAGTCTTCTGTGGGGTCTTCCTACTCCACCTGGTAGGCCCCTGCCAAGCTCACTGGCTTCCAGCTCAACAACCCAGGAAGGCTAGACTTCAAGGCCCCTGCTGATTGTGGCACTGTCAAGCTTACTGGAATAGGACTGTTCTTCAGACTGGTATGAGCATCCTGTAAGGTGGCTTCTTCCAACAGTGCCAAAGGGCAACATGGCAAGTGCTCCCTTGCCATTTGAATTCTCTTCGGCTTACCTAACTCATCTCCTGCTCTCCAGGCCCAAGTTTAGAGATGAGCTATCAAGAGACCTTGAAGACCACTGCACTCTACTCTCTCTCTTTTTCCCTCATATTACCACAGTCCTCTTTTACTGCCTTTATATCATATACTGCTCCATCTTAATGCCAACTAAGCCTTAACGGCCAAAAGGATAGCTCTTCTCTACTCTGTGTTAATTCTATAAGCTTAATCCCCCATGCTTGATTGGTGGTCTGCTAATAAAGGAAGAAAATAAAATAATTCAAAAATCTTCTCTCAAGACAATATCTTGGTTTGCAAGGCAGTATTTTTCTGCATAATCCTATTTTGCATGTCAGAAGCTAAATATTACCTTGGTCTTAGTCTTTGCACTGCTTCAGAACCAAATTCTAATCTTATCTGTAGACAGATGGATGCCTTGGCTGAAGTAAGGGGAAGGTCTTATACTTGGAAAGGCAAAGGGCAAAAGCACATTAGTAATTTCTTGAATATTTCCCTAAAGTATTTCAGGTTTGAAGTGCAATTTGTTGGGAAATTTCCTTTGAAGAATATTACAGATATATTCAGATTATGAAAGTCTGTATAATATTTTTAAAATATCTCGTTCATTATTTGTATACAGTACAGAATGTGCAAAAAATAAACCTGGCTCTCCGAATTCTATGCCATTTTAACTGTGTAGTGTAGATACATTCTCAGTGTAAACTATGTTGGTAATTGTATGGTGTTGACATTTATCTGTGCTGAACTACACTATGCTGAGTTTCCTAAATGGAGCCTTAACACTATACAGCTGTTTTCTATGGCGAAGGTGGTTGTTTTTGGTTATGATCAAACTAATAAATTGAACAGGCTGGTTTAATCTCTAGTATTTTATGTACACATTGATGTAGATTTTAAACTAGAAATGCAGAAAATGAAAGTATGTTTTCTTTGGCAGGCATTTGATGTACTTGGAAGAATTGAAGCTTACCTTAAGCTCCTTAAATCAGAGGGTTTAAGTCTGCCTGTCTTGGCAGCGAGGCATGAGGAATTACACAGAGAAATTAAAGACTGCACAGCCAATGCTTTGCAAAAGGGACAAGCCTTAATCAGCCAAGTAGGCTCCTGCAGGTGAGTAAAGTCGATTTCTTCCTCAGTGTAACAAGCTTTTTCACAGTTTCCACAAGCTGTTAAAAAATAAGTTGCATGATTTTTTTTATGCTTCTGATATTTTGCTGCATTATGATATGGCTTAAAAGGATCTGCTGAATTTTGGTCAACAGTGATTCTGAATACAGCATTGCTCATCCAGAAGTGAGGCCGTAATCTGGGCCTGAAGACCTGAAGATGCTAAAGCTTCTTTCTATGAGTTTCCTGGGAGAGGAGAGGGAAAGGACAAAAAGAAAAAACAGAGCTTTAGTTCTCAATGCTTTTCATATTCCTAACGCCTCAGTGGGGTTTCTTCCTCTCTTTTAATTCATGAGCCTTGAGTCTACCCTGTTCCTTTTTTCCTTTCTGGAAAAAAATAAAGCACCAGAATTCCCTTTAATTTATGACCTTGGTGGCTCACCAAGCAAAACCCCAAGTAAAAGGTGACATTATTAATAATAATAATAGTTCACCTTTTTTTTTTAATTGAGAGCCTACCATGTGCCAGGCACTGCGCTAGGAGCTTTAGGAGTATTATCTCATTAATCCTCACAGCAACTCTATGAGGCATATACTATTAATGTTCTCCTTTTATAAGTAACTGAGTCACAGAGAGGTTAAGTAACTTGCAAAAGGTCACACAGCCAGTTAGTAGCAGAGCCAGAATTTGAAACCAAGTTCATAGACCCTAGACCCCATGCTCTTAACCAGTGTGTTAGGGTGGGTGGTTTGTGTGTGCACATTCGGTGAGTGTATCAGTGTGAGTTTAGAGTTGGGTGGGAATGAGGAGAGAAAAAGACCTTGAGAAACAAAAAGAGAATGCAGTGGGAACATGTACGAAAGAATAGGGATTGGAAGACGAAAGGGAGATGACAGAGCAAATGGTGGGACAGACATCGACTAGGAAGAAATCAAGGCAGGGCTTATGTTTTGACCGAGAGAGACAAAAAGATTTGTGCAAAGGGGATGAGCCCAGTTTTTTATCTTCCATATCCACAACCTCCTTGAAACTCAAAGACATTCAATTTGAAGAAAAATGAAATAGGTCAAATGTGATTAAATTATTTTATTTCTGTTTAAACCCTGATTTTGCTTTATTTTAGCTGTGTTTAAAGTGTTGGTTTGGTAAGTCTGGGTTTAGAGAATTTTCTTTTCAGAAGACAGTCTGAGTGCAGACTGAGATATTTAAGCAGGGCTTGTGATGGTTGCTATGGCACCATGCGAAGCCAAGATTAGATTAGATATAACCCGAGGTCTTCCAGCGGAGCCAAAAGCTCAGGCTGTCAGAAGGGCGAGTGACCCTCTCCTTTGAAAAACTAACAATACCAGCCATGGCTACTAAGTTTCTTTACTTTAGCTCCAAGCCTTGTGTTAGGCGGTGGTGTATTCACCCCACTCCAGGAGCCCCAGTGTGCCCCTGCCTGGTCACAAAGTGTGGGTACGAGAGCACCTTTCTCCCCTCCCCTGTTAGAGGTCCAGTCTTCCAGAATTCATAAATGTCTTGGAGCATGCAGAAGATATCCTGTGGGGTGCCTGAACTTGTGGTGCCTGGACTCAGGGTACATGTTGGACATTGATCTGATCACAAGGTGACTGGATGAAGTGGTGAGGTCTCCAGTTATAATTGGAGAATGGCCCCATGTCACTTTAGCAAGTGGGTCTCAAAGCACAGACAGATATTATTTTTTTCAGGCTACTCTTTACTTGGGGTGCTTTCCCTGGCCTTGGGCAGTTTCCTTTTATACCTGGGTAGATCAGGAGGCAGCCAAAGACCTCTCCCCAAATCTCTGAAGATCTGTCTCTGGCATGCTGCTCCAGAAAGTCTAGGTGCCTTGGCCTCTCCAAAGTCTGATCTCTGTCTCCTCAACTCAGCACAACCTCTGGGCTCTGTCTGGCTTCCAGCTCCCTGAGCTTTGGTCTGGAAATTACCTCCCAGGCAGTGAGCCGAAGCAATCTTAAGGCTCGCCTCATTGCTTTCCCTTCTCTCAGGGATCACTGTCCTGTGCTACCAGCCGTTCAATGTCTGAGAACTACCCGTTCATATGTGATGTCTATTGTTCTAGTCGTTGAAGGCGTGAGGGTAAATCCGGTCCCTGCTTCTCGGCTAGAGTTTGAAATTCTCTATTCGGTTTTGATGCTCAACTCCTGGAGTTGGAAAGCTGGTCACAAATTATTACTGCTGACCTTTATCTTATTTGCCCTAAGCAGTAATGCTTTATTTTCAATACTTAAATATAAGAGGAGAAGTGCTTTTTATTTTATATTACATTCTGTTTTCGGGGTTTTAGTGACTGTGTTTGGCCATCCGCATTGTAATGGTCGAGATGTTTATTTGCTTAGCTAGTCTCGTGCTTTTTGCCTTCTGTGCTTGTTCTAGTCTTAATTTTTACATATATATTGTTTTTCAAAAGGGCCTCTGTAAGTTCTCTTCTTCGGGCTGCAGACAGAGACGTAATAGAAGAAGCATAGTTAGGGACCATTTCAAGAAACTTGAATTAATGGTTAGATAACTGGATTTAAAAAAATAATTAGGAGTATGGCTTCTGCAACATCCTAGATATATGAGCTCTCATAGTAGTACCAAGGTGTCTGGTTGCCCTGTGATTTCACAGTATTTTGCAAATCAACACTATTTCCATTTTGCAGGAGGAACTGAAGATAAAGTGAAATTGTTACTTGGCAAAGGACACTTTTGATTCAGAAGGTAGATGGAGAATAGAAATCATTAAAAACTGAATTGAAATGCATTAGAATCTCAGTCGCAAACTAGAGCCACACATAGCTACTGACCTCAATCCCATGCATTCCATTTGGGACTTGCTTCCCTTTCTCATCTAACGGTTCATCTGTTCAGCGACCTGGGTCACCATCATAGGAAAGAAGTAAAACCTAAAAAGGGGATTTCAAGTTGCAGCCACTGTTGGAGTGAGGGTGGAGTTTAGAATGGTGGTAATGGAAATGAACGCAAATTTCAATACAGGGAATTACACGTTATTGAACATCACAACGGCTTCCTAGACTTCCAAATGCCAGCCACACGACTGAGACACAAAACACTAAGGTTCCTATTATCAGACATTGGGAAACTGGCGTGGATAAGAAACTTAAAACTTAGTATCAAAGGAGTTATCTTTCATGCATTCTGAGGGCCTAAACAATGCCATGACTTGTGAACTTCACTTCTCTGAACCTCAGTTTCCTCATCTGTAAAATAGACCTATACATTACATAGAGGTTTTTGTTTTAATCGAAGGAGATGGCACCACTCTTGGCACATAGACAGTGCCCAATAAACAATTGGTTCACTTTTTTTTTTTTACCTTCTATACAAAGAGCTTTAAAAGCAAAATACTGAGTCACATGGTTGTTTCAAATGATTACATTTTCACTAACTGGGGAAGGTTATACTTGAAACATGGCAGATAAACATTTATCTTAAGGTAGTAAAAGGCAAAATTTAGTATTGAGGCAGATAGAATTTGAGACCCTTAGATCTAATTTTTCTTGTTAGTCAATAAAATAGTACTTGAGAAGTTCACATTTATCTGAGATGAAGCTTCCTAGTAAATCTGAGACCTTTGTCATTATTTTTCTGTAATTACTACCTTATTAGTAACAGATTCATACTGTTTTTCTATCCTGGAATCAAACACCTTTGAGGTTGGAGCAGCCTCACAAAATAAATAATGGTTATTTACATGTTTTCTTCTCTTTCGATTTCCTCCCTATAATCAGGTGATAATTCTGAGTCGTTGTTAAATAGTTTATCTTTTCAGAGTACAATATTTGTCACATAACCTTAACACACTTTAATTTGAAAGGCATTTTAGTGCATTCATTTGTACTTAATTGTGTTGCAAGTTTCCTGTAATAGTATCTGATAATGGTTGAACTTAGACTTACAGTGAAGCTGAAAGCTCCTGGCTTCCAGCCCCCCTCACCTCTTCCTAGGCCTTGCTTGGTATCATCTTTGAGCAACAAGTCTAAAGACAGACCAGAGGTGGCCTGCCACCAAGCAGAATTCTGCATTTGTTAAGCCACAGGAAGCTGTGGTGATTGGGAGTGCTGCGTCAAAGACCTTGTGTGAGGGTGAAGTTTTCCATAATTGGACAAAAACAAGGAACCTCTTTTTTTTCTCAGTGTAGCTACCAGTTCAGAACTCAAAAACATACAAACACCCAGCAAGATATGAAGTGTTCATTTGCCTTTTCCTGTTTGCTAAAGTTAACTTAAGATTTACAAGTCAACTTGCTTCAGTATTGGTTCCATTTCCATCCTTGTATAAAAGACTGACCAGTTTTCATTCTACCTTGTTATGGTGAATTTAAGCTTATAAATTTCATCCTGACAATATTTTGCTTTGGTATAACCATAAGTATTGTCTGTTTTGATCTAACACATTATTACTTTTTTAATGGTAATTCTTTATATTTTCATGTTTTACAGAGAAATAAAAACAGGAGCTAATTGGGAGTTTGCATTCTCTTTCCACGATTTTCATTTACGTTGGCTATCTCTACTTCCCTTGGTTGATAGTGTGAATGGTAATGAACTTCAGACAGAATGTGGTTCATTCATTCATTTATTTGTTTACTCCAAAAATATTATTGCATGTCTTTTGTAAATCAGGTATTCTCAAGCATCTAATGTGATAGGGGAAGTGTCTGCCTGTGTGCTATTTATATTTTGGTAGGAAGAAACAGTCAACCAACAAATAACCAGTAAATGAGATGCTCTTATGAAATGGGATAGAGAGTGACTGTGGGGAGGGGACCTTTTAGACATCATAGTCAGGGAGGAATTCTTTAGGGAGAAGGAGCTACCATGCAAATAGCTGGGAGATGGGTGGACTTGTCAGAACAACAGCAAAGGAGTAAAGAAAGAAGAGCTGTGTGGCCGGAGGAGAGGGCGACAAGGGGAAAAGGGCATAAAACAAGATCAAAGAGTCAGGTGGAAGTTAGACTATGTTCAAATGCTCATTG